CGCAAAATTACATATTATTTAATAATTGAACAATGAGAATCTAAAAATTTGGACTAAATAATATGAAAGTTAACAAAAAAATTTAATCCGAAACTTTGAACCCCTAGTATTTTTTCGTTTATAAATTTAAAATTTCATTTGAAAAGGTAAGAAAAGAAGCTAAAATTTGTCATAAATTGATGATGCTAAAAAATGATCAAATTAATAAATTACAAGGAAATAAAGCGATAAGATAAAACCAACAAATAAATATAATAAATAAAACAAAAATACTTAACATAAAAAATAGTTTGGGAAATACAAAAGGTTAGCCATTATCAAATATTTCAAAACTTGCACCATTTTATAGAAAGTAAATCGCGTAAATAATTGCTAAATTTTCAAAACTGCTCATCCTCCAGGGGCCCCTCTTTTTCTCCCTGAAATTCTTCACCAGACCCATCACTACTCAAGAAAATAATTGGGATACTTTTACAGATGTAGATTGCAATTTTCAAGAATTTGAGTCTTTTCCACCTGAAAAAACTCCAGCCAGCTCTTTTTCACCCCAGGAAATACAAAAGGTTTGGGAATGTAAGTTAAATGGGTTAAATGGGTTAGATGGGGGTATAATTGGGTAACCCATTTATATCCATATATAAAAATTTAATGTACCCATATTCAATTATTAATGGGCGGGTATGGGTAAAATTAGTTAAATGGTTTTATTTGACACCTCTAACTACAATACTTTAAAGCACTAGATATTTACTTTGTAATAGTTAAAGCATTCAGCTGTGAATTTTATTAATTGTCTTCTTTTATGGACAGATGTTATCAAATTAATATAATGGATACGTGCATGTATAGCCTTTTGATAATCTTTTTTTTAATTAATTTTTGTAAGGAACGGATGGGATTCAAGAAACGATGAGAGGAAAAAAAAGATCTAAGACAGGACGTCTAATCTTCAACCTTAACTACTAAAACAGCCATTAGAAGGTAGCTTGGCCTGTGTTCTAACATCTAAAAACTCCAAAATAATGGTCTTCGCCATAACTTTATATAATTTAGTCACTAGATTTTACCAATGTCCACATGTTGATTTTTCATTTACGAGGCCATTAAATATCACAAATTTGGACAAATGCGAAAGTTGAAACTCCAAAAATCAGCAAACCAGGGCACGCATTCAAGCAAAATATATACTCCCTCCGTCCCGTTTTGTTAGTCTTGGTTTTTTTTTCACACAGATTAAGAAAGTGTAATTAATTTGGTTGGAAACATAAATTTAGATTAATAATTTCCTAAAATACCCTTATGCTAATCACAAAGAGTGCCAATTAATATCAGTTACAGCTAATGGGTTAGTATTGGAAAATCTCAATATATTCAATGTAGTGGGTTAGTATTTAATAACAATGTATTAATAACAAGATATTTAATAAGGGTATTTTAGACAATTTGAAAGATTACTATATTTCTTAATGGGAAAGTGGATTACAATTTGGGACAGACGAAAAAGGAAAACAAGACTATCAAAGTGGGACGGAGGGAGTACTAGTTGGCAGCAAGAGAAGTTCATAGAACTACGGAACAAGTGTCCCAATCAATGAAATTGGTAACAGATTACGGTTTAAGAATTCCAACTTCAATATCGAAGTTGGTGGGAATATTACCTAATTGATTTATTGGTTTAGAGGCTTTAGACCAGTTTGGATCAACCATCCTATCACGAACAATTTAATTGCTAGAAACAAATAAAATATGCTTTACACACACACATATATATATATGGTTGGCTTTAAGATTTCAAATCATTTTTACTTTTGTGGTCGTAATAGTATTTGTTTTGAAATTAAACAATTAGCTATGACTTTTGTACAATATGTCATGTCCATTAATCTAATTCGATCATTTCAAGATTGCGATTTTTGGATAATTAATTTATTATTTTCTTGTTTGATTTTACATCTAGAGATTTATTATTATCATAAAAGGTAAAACTCAGAATCAACCCAAAAATAGTTCAAGTCAAATTCTTCTCTATAATCACTTTGAGTAATCAATTTTTGTACTAAAATCTACAGCAAAACAAGAAAGAGTCCATAACCTCAGAATCAACCCAAAAATTATTTAAGTCAAATTCTTCTCTATAATCGCTTTGAGTAATCAATTTTTGTACTAAAATCTACAGCAAAACAAGAAAGAGTCCATAACCTCAGAATCAACCCAAAAATAAATTAAGTCAAATTCTTCTCTATAATCTTTTTTTTTATTTTTTTTTTTGTGAAAAATTCTTCTCTATAATCACTTTGAGTAATCAATTTTTGTACTAAAATCTACAGAAAAACAATAAAAAGTCCATAACCTCAGAATCAACCCAAAAATAAATTAAGTCAAATTCTTCTCTATAATCACTTTGAGTAATCAATTTTTGTACTAAAATCTACAGCAAAACAATAAAAAGTCCATAACCTCTTATTTTTTTTATTATCATAAAAGGTAAAACTCAGAATCAACCCAAAAATAATTTAAGTCAAATTCTTCTCTATAATCACCTTGAGTAATCAATTTTTATACTACAAATCTACAGCAAAACAAGAAAAAGTCCATAACCTCTTATTTTATTGTCATTAACTACGGGGAGAATTTGCAATATTTGAAGACTTACCAGGTCATACGCTTAACATTTTATAGCTATTTTTTTTTTTATAATCTTCTGTATACATTTTAACTAATTAACATCAAATTTTCTGGTAATCAGCTTTGCAAGTTGAAAATCAAATATTATTTCTACACTCAACATATTACATATGGGCTGGTTTTGCCATCTTAAAATACTGATTTATTTTCCCCGAAAGTCATACATTCAACATTGCACAGCTATTTTTAATAAAATTTTCTGTGGGGTTCGTCAATTATACAGTATACAGTAACTAAAGGATCGAATAATGAGGGAATATTAGTTCAATGGTCAAGGATTTTAATTTAATATTTATATCTTTTCTCCTAATTTATGGGAAGGTTGTAAAAACTGGAACATTTTGTTATGCCTGTGAGAGAGAGAGAGCGCGATGGTGTGTCGCCGGGTGTTTTGACCATTATTATATGTCAAATTACAAAAGCAAGTTCTTTGATGGAAATTGCAAGTATTGGAAATGAAAATAATAGATTTAGAACATTAATTATGTAGAACCATTTATCTGTGAGACCGATTAAGCTCAAAGTTTCTAAACAACAAGTACCTGAACCACGATATAAAAAGGACTAACTCTATTTTGTACTCTCAAATTTGTATTACTTTTTTCACTTTGTACCTTAACCTTCAATTCTAGACACTTTGCACCTTAACCCTAAATTTCGAAACACTTCGCATCCTAAACTCCAAAGTTTATGGCATTTAAGTCCAATCAATGATAATGTCAGTAAAATTAATAGCTTGATGAGGACCTGCAAATTAATGATAATTTGCCAAAAGTGGTCAAAAGGACCCAAAATATTGCAAATAGAATAAAACGATGCATTATCATTAATTTGTATTGTCTTTTATTTTGTTAATATTATTAGTGATTTGGCTCATATAAATCCATGACAGTGTGTTGATATTGGTCAAAAATAGCCGAGAGATCATAATAAGAACAAATGATATATTGCCATTAATTTATACCATCTTTTATCTTGTTACTTTTGCTAACGTTGCCATCGATTAGACCTAAATAGGACAAAGAGTATAAAGGGTCCAAATTGAGAGTTTAGGGCACAAAATGTTTAAAATTGAAATTTAGGATACAAAGTGAAAAAGTGATACAAGTTTAGAGGTGCAAAATAAAATTAATCCTTCCATATAACAATATTTGGACATCAAAAGCATATCCATTTTCTTCCTAAATTTAATTGTACGTGTTACATGACCATCATCAGCTATTCTAGCATTGGGGTCATGGGTTACCAAATGCTTTTAATTCTTTAAAACATCAACTGGGTTCAACAAAATGAGAATAATTGGTAATGTAAAAATGACTTCTTTGATGTTGCATGCAAGTTACTTCGTGAATAAAAACTTTGAGATACATGTTACCTCATTTATTTATTAGATGTTATCAACCATATATATTCATGAACCTGTAAAATATAAAGACGTATCGATTAGATGTTATAAATCATATATATTCATGAACCTGTAAAATATAAAGACGTGTTGATTTTAAACGTGTAAAACATATATACGTGTCAACTTAACATGCCGAATCGTATAAACAGTTTGAACGAGACTGCGCTACAAGTAATCGGATTGCTACTCTTTTGACTTGTAACGCTTAATATAGCTTAGCTTCAAGCTAATTAAAGTACCTAACTATTTCGCATGGTTTTTGCTAACTTTCTTTTTCCTCATTTTCTTGTGGTTGTGGTTTGGAACTTGGGGGATGTTTATGTAACATATTGATTGGTGAATGATCAATATTCAACTATGGCCCTATTTTCCCCTTTTCTTTGGCTGATTGCACGAGTGACAAGCAAACCAGCAACTATGGCCCTATCCTCAATTAGTCCAGGGAAGAAAGATCACAATAATTGAAATATTGTAGTAGGACTCAGATACTGACTAAAATGATGAGCTCGTGTTTGGGTGTGCAAATATGAATATATAGTATTTGAAGGGCGTTGTCATACAGAATTTTAGTGTGGTCCCATGCTGAGAAATTAGCTTAGTACAATAACATAATTACATTAAATTGTATGGAGATAAGGGGTCCACGGCTGCGTCCTCAGTTCACCCCCACGACAATTTTTTAATTGCACAGAGAAAATGCACTGATTTTTTTACTTATATTTTAGGATGATGTCATATTTTTGTGATGCAATCACTAAAAGACAAGATAACTGATTGAATTTTTCAAACGTAGGAAACAATTAGTTAAGACCCCAACTTGGTATCATATATGATATCATTAATTAATCACCAAAAAAAGTATGAACACAACAAAAAAAATAAAAATAAAAATCAGTATAGTTTTGAGATAATACATATGATATTTCTCAAATTGAAAATTTATACACACATCATAATAATTGTCTTCAAACAAGTATAGTAAAACTATAGGCCTAATTTTCCTACCTAATGTTTTCCTTTTTTTTTTTTTCTAATGCTTCTTCTTCCTAGCATACTTATTACACTTACCCCCCCCCCCTTTTTTTTTTATCGCTCTCTCTATCTCTCTCTCTCTCTCTCTTTTTTTTCAAGAGTACCAAAGACAATCAACAAGGCCTTGTGGCCCAACTGAAGTTGATGGTGGCTCCTGATCAACTGCTGATTTTCTTCCCATCTCAAGATTTGAGACAACTGATGAAATTTCAGTGTTCATATCAGTGCTTATGCCTGTCTCCTGAGAGGCACTAACCCTCTCCTGCTGCTCAGTTTTGAAGCTCTGTTTCAACATATTCTGGCCACAGCTTTCAATCAAAGTCCTCAGAGCTGAGGTATCTTGCATTGGAATTGAGCCTGGAAATTGGTAATTCCCTTGAACAGGACCAAGCTGAGTCCAAGAAAATGCATTCGAGAAAGGCCCTCTTGAGAAAACATCCAGGGGATTGGAAGTAGAAGGTGCAAAAGCAGGATTGCTGAAATAACTCAGCAGCATATCTTCCTGCAGGCTCTTGTTCTGGGCAGAAGAAAAGGGGCTGGAGAAGCAGTGCACGTGGCCAGATTCCGGCCAGCTGGTGGGCTTTGATGAAGCTCCATTGTAGGTTGGAGAATCCATCAATGGTGGCAGCAGAGAAGGAGCAAATTCGGTTTCAATAGAATTGGACCTCAGGAGTCCTGATATATGGATTTTCTTCCCACCAGCAGTTTTCTGGAACACCCTGCAGATTACCCACTCATTCTGCACAATTATCCAACAAAAATCGATCCTTTCTGTTCAGTACAAAATCTTTTAAATAATGGGGCAAATATTCAAGCATCTTGAAAAGGAAGAGAGGAAGAAAAAGCAGGGGAAAACAGAGGAAAAAGAAACCAGATTGAAGTTGCTGACCTTTGCTGTTTTGGGCAGATTTTGAAGAGAGAATTTGCCCTCTAATCTGAACTCATGGGTGACCCAATTGGTCTTCTCTCCTTTTGGAGCTCTTCCCTTGTAGAAAACAAGGGTTTTCTTCATTCCAACAAGGGATTTTCCACGGAAAATTTCCTTGTCTTTTCCGGTGGCTTTCCAGTATCCTTTTGCAGTAGCCCTGTTGGTCCTCAATCCCGTAGGATATTTCTTATCCCTCACACCAAAAAAGTACCACTCTTTTTCCCCCATTTTCGCCTTCCCTGCACAAAACATCAACAAATCCATTGGAAAAAGATCTTATCTTTGAAGACAAAGAAAAGCGAAAAAATTGTTCAACTTACAGGGCAAATCCCAAGGTTCAACCTTGTTCATATCCACTTCACCAATGGCTATCGCTGAGAAGCTGTTATCAACAACTTTTTTGGACAAATAATGAGTGATCAGCTCTTCATCAGTGGGATGAAATCGGAAGCCCGGAGGCAGGTCCAGCTGATGATCATCCCCATTAACAAGAACAGAATAGTTTTCCATCATCCCCTAAACCTGAGTTTTGAACCAAGAAAAGAATATGATTTTCTCTGTTTTCAGCCTCAGATTCTACGCCTAATCCACCAGCACCTTGAAATCTCAAATGGGTTCTGGCCAAACAGCTTCAACTTTGTTAACTTATATACACAAGCAAGAAGAGGAAGAAAGCTACAGGAAAGTCAGAAAGAAGTGAAAAAGATAGAAAAAAGATGAAGAGGAGCCATGAAACAGACCTGAAAGTTTGATAGAAAGTGTTAAGAAAAAAAAAAGGCAGAGTGAAGAGAAGAAGGCAATAAATACTGCTATTTGAGGGGATGGGGATAGAAAGAAACGTGATTTCTAAGGAACTGAAGAGGTTGTTTTGGCCCTCTCTTATTTATGCTGCTATAAATCTGTCCTCCTTTAAAATTTTGACCAAATACAGGTCATTTCCATAAAGCCATTGCACCCAATCCCCATGCATGTAATACAACAGTGGTAATAAGAATTTGTCAACAGTTTGGTATTGCGTTCAAATCTTAAATTAAATACAGCCTTAATCAAAGAATTTGAACAGTTGAACAGGGGCTTTTTTGTTGATTAGTTCAAGGACCAAAGGCTTGACAAGGTTACTTTCGTGGTTGTTTCAACCGTATACCAGAACCGGCCAATATGCATCCATATATACGTTTTCAAGCACAATTAATTATGCTTTTAACATAACTAATACATTCCATCCATGACTCATATAGAGGGATTAGATGTAAAAAGAATAAACCAGCGTCAGCCACTAGGCACGCTTCTTTTTCTCATCTGAGAACTGGGATTTCATTCTAAACGCTTTTTTTCCCCTAATGGTAAATTTTACTGGGATTAATCTTTTGTACACTGACAATATATACACTATCACCATTGGATGCATGATAACTCATCTGAATTTAAATTTAAAATCCCAAATTTGTTAATGTGTCATGCATCCAACCGTAATAGTATATACACTGTTAGTGTATATAAGATTTACTCATTTTACTGACATAAAAAAATTTAAAAAAAAAAGAAGAAAAGAAAGAAAAACATGGTGAAGTTAGCTTTCTTTCATATTGAAAAACAGAAATCTTACCATTATTTGAAAACAGCTGTCTGCATGAATACAAAGAAGAATACAGAAAGTTAACATCAGGTACCTAATATTAGCTTAAATCCCATTTGTTTTTAAGTGACAATGACCATTTTAAGCCCAAACTGCTTTTCAATTTGACAAGAGAAAAGGAATTAAGAGGCTGAAAGGCTAAATAGTGGCATGGTACTAGCATTCTTGTTCTCTCATCTTGGACACCTGTATCTCAAAAATAGTGTTGTGCAGAGGAAATGTCAATATCTTTGTGATATTCAAGGCCTTTTTATATGATAGTGATCCCAGATATGAATCTGTTTTTAGCTGACCACTTTTCTACTACTGTTGTGATCATTATTAGTAAGTCATCTAAGAATTCTCAAAGTGTATTGTACCGTGATGGAAACTTTCATCTATGTTGATGGCAGTCACTCATTGCTGTAAATCTGATAAGATATGTGTGATCTCTATGTATTTATTTGAAAGCAATGTTCTCGTGCAAATTAGGAGTAATGTACATTGCAGATACATTGCAGATGGCTGCTTTTTATGAAAAACCTGTTTCAGCTCTTAATTATTCACCAATATTATGTCAATCTTTTTGGAAGAAGCAGGAAAAAAAAAAAAAGATTTTTAAGTTGTCAAGGGATTTTGTAATGATTAATAATTTATGTTGATTGATAAACATACAAGTGGCATGCATTATGACAACAACAAAAAAATAGAAAATAAAAATGAACCGGAGTCAATCAATACATCTTCTTGATCATGTCAAACTTCTAGATGAGCATTTGGAACGTACAAGTCTTCTTGCGTAGAGTACAAGTGCTTTAAAACAGGTATTGATGTAAAGAAGATCATGGAATATGCTGTTAGTGACAGATTAAGCACACTAGTGATTAGTGGCCAAACTAAAGAAGAGGGCTGGGCAATACATTCCTAACAACAGAACAAAACACCTTAATCAGACTCTCTTACATCCTTTAGACAAGAAAGATTCCTAAATCTTTGACACTAATGTGATGAAGAAGTACCATTATTTAGCCTGTGTTGTTGGAACTTGGAACCAACCTTCACAAAATGCCTCTTTTCTTTTAATTTATTTATGTGTAGCTTTGCATAATTGAGTAGATCTAAGTTCCCAATTGAATCATTAAGTAGGCCATGATGAATACACAGTAAAATGAAAGCTACTTCTATTTTATGAGCTTGTGGAATTTTTGGCACCTTTGGAAGTTAGGATATGGTTTTTGACTCTTATTAGCAAGTCCAGCTAGAGACAGAGCAGGCGTGAGAGGTGACTTTTATAATAAAGAAATAGTCCCAACTGTTTTATAAAAAAGGATGGGAAACGGATGATAATCTGTGTAGATTTTGTAATGAGTATTATTATTATGGTCCACGAAGGAAGGGCTTACCCTCATTTGGTATTTATCTTCTTGTACTTTCTGTGACAGCACAAGTCTGAAATAAGTGGAGGAATTTGGGGCAGGACGAAGAAATTGTTTTTAATTAGTTTTGTTGTACGGAATGAAGACTTTTCTTTTCTTTTTTTTTTGGAAATGAAATGAATCAAGACTTGAAATCAGAAGGAATTTGGGGCAGAAGGCCACAGAGGTCTCAAATTAAGTGCGTTTTAGAGACTAAAATTATGAAATCCGAAGGCATTTGAGGTGGACACGGTTGCACGGACGACATATTCTAATTATCTGTGAACACGAGTTGGTTAAATTAGTAAGAACAGATCATTTTTTTTTTATAAAAAGTCGTGTGTTCGAATCCCGTTACTAATATGAGAATTATACTAGCAGACGATCTATAAAAAGAGCCCTTATAAGCAACAATTTATGATTTTCGAAATGTGCTATAATCCGTATTAGTGATATGAGTCGAATCACCCAAACTTTTTCCTATATATATATAAAAAAAAAAAAAAAGATTCTAAATAATGGGTGATCACTGATCATCATGGTGACAAGTTGTAATTCATCACAAATAATTTGTACGATTTTGTTTTACATGTGTAGAAAACTGAACTAATCCTAACAAAAAATCCATATCTTTTGTGTTAATTGAGATTTGGCCTGGTTAGTCAAATTTGACCCCATTAACAACCACCAATGGTTGGCTATGAAAGTGAAGAGACAGTTTTGAGCTATCCATTTCTTATCCTTTCTTTTTCTTTAGTATTTCATTTTTGTTCAGGCGCTGTTAATTGGAAAATCATACCATGGTCGATGACTTCAGCAACTAAAATTGCTCCCCGGGATGCAGCTAATACTTGTGGTAAAGAACTATTATCATAAACAGGAATACAATATTAACTATTATCAAATGTACAGGTGCCATTAGTTAACAAATTCTTAAGTAGGAGTTATGGTATTATAGATAAGGGGTGAACAAAGACTATGTCTTGATGGAGGATCTGACTAGTCGGCCATAGCCTGATCACTTGATATCATCATATAATGGTGTACAAGCTCTAGTTTGAAAAAGAGATTAAAAAAAGAAGAGAGAGAGATTAGAAAAGGTTGCCTTTGCTTTCTATGTTGTCAGAGACAAAATAAATATTCAGTCCTAGGGATCTTCAGAGCCATCTACCCTCCCTTCAGGCCTTAATACTTTAATCATGTTTTAGCCTTGTTTGGATCGTAATTTTTCACAGAAAAATTTTTATGCGTTTTGTTAATACATTTTTCAATTACTTTTTTATCTCATATACATCAAATCGTTACAGTATATATATATATACAAAAACTCCTAAAATAAGCAATCCAAAATATGTATACCACTTGCATAGCATGTAAATAATGCGTATCTACAAATACTTTTTTTTCAATTTTTTTATAAGTGCGAGGGTTGAGTTGGGTGGTTACAATTGTAATTTAGAGTTAGTATCGAACATAGAGATTAAATCAAGTATGTCAAAATACTTAGATGTAAATTAGAAAGTATCATTTCACGTCCCCTCCATCATTTCTGAGAACTCTTTAATTTGCATGACTTGGTGAAAAAAATGTCAAACACACACATTGGGTGCTAACTTCAATGATTAGAAAGGAAAGTAAAAAATCCAATCAAACTCAATCCAAAGTTGAAATTAATTTTTCTTTATTGATAAAGAAAAGGATTCACATCCATTGACATATGAATAGACTAGAAACACGAAAATAATCCTTCAAGCTTAGACTTTTACTCTCTTCTCTTGGAGCTTCTACTCCTATTACTTCTAAGCACTAGCCTCATTGGCCAAGCCTCAAATCTAAGGCCAAAAAATGTGTCAATTAGCAATGCCATACCAAACCCTGTGGGCACATTTCTTGCTATTCTATACATCTTTCAGAGAAATCGCGTCAAGAAAGTGAACTTGACAGGATACATGTATAACATCGCTGTAGATGTTCTGAACCGAATTTCGAATGAAAAGAACAAAAAAACTATCGATTCAAAATTTTGGGTTGGCAAAAGTCTTTGCTTCTTTAATGCAAAATCACTGTAGATCTTCTGAACCGAATTTGGAATGAAAACAACAAACAAAAACTATCAATTCAAAATTTTGGGTTTGCAAAAGTCTTTGCTTCTTTAATGCAAAATCACTGTCACGGTGTGATATATAGTTAGATCCTAAAAAGGGTAAAGAGAAAAACAGAAATTAGGAATGATGCATGTTCTGAAACATTTAGGCATGGTGCATGATTTCCAATTTTGGTAGTTTGGTAACTTGTCCAAAATTAGGGTGGCATGAAGGGGATAAAGTTTATGAATGAGGAAAACAGGACCGAAAGAGAGCTTACTATTAACGTGTCAAATGTTAAAGCTAGTCTTTAATTTACTTTGTTCATATTTTATGTATTTGCCGATAATAAATGTCAGGAAAATTCTTTGTGAACTTGTGAAAAATCCGCATTTTAAAACTTTGCGTAATTAATCTCCTTTTTTTTCTTTTTTTTTTTATCCTTCCTCCCTCCCCTGCCCACTCACAAACTGTCTAGATTCATAATTCAAAATCTGGCAGTGTGAAAAATTCTAAAAACCCTCCCCTGATCAACTCTAGTGGTTCAATTAATCTTTTTTTTGCCTAGTTAACTCAACTAAATTGTGAGGGGTTAATAAATCGGGTTTTCAAGAGACCACTAACACAGAAACATGTTTACTTGGGATTTGAAACATAGTTTGGCAAATGAGTTTTTTTAGTGTTTGCCCAAAGTTTTACTATAACTTACTTTAGGAGTTGTAGAAAAAAATTTTAAGATAGAAAATTTTTTTACTTTTTTTCTTTCTCTTTCTTTTTTCTTT